ATGTTCATGCTTAAAAGCAGAATTCGAAATGAAAGACTTGGGATAAACCAAGTTCTGCCTCGGCCTGCAGATCGAGCATCTTCCAAATGGAATTTTCATTCACCAAGCCAACTACATTAATAAATTATTGGAGAAATTCTATATAGATAAATCTCATCCCCTTAGCACCCCAATGGTGGTCCGGTCCCTTGAAGCGGAAAAGGACCCATTTTGACCTAAGGAGGATAATGAGGAGGTTCTAGGACCTGAAGTTCCTTACCTAAGTGTTATTGGAGCCTTGCTTTACCTGTCTAATTGCACAAGGCCTGATATTGCATTTTCAGTGAATTTACTTGCTAGATTTAGTGCCTCTCCAACCAGAAGACATTGGAGTGGAATAAAGCATATCTTTAGATATCTCCAAGGGACAAAAGACCTTGGTCTTTATTTTGAAAACAACCAGGACATTACTTTGACAGGGTATTCAGACGCTGGTTATATGTCTGACCCTCATACTGCTAAATCGCAAACTGGTTATGTTTTTCTTTGTGGAGGTACAGCTATATCTTGGAGGTCCATTAAACAGACCTTAGTTGCTACCTCATCTAATCACTCGGAGATAATTGCTTTATATGAAACCGCACGCGAATGCGTATGGTTGAGATCACTAATACAGCATATCCATTGCTCATGCGGAACAATGAGCAATGTTGATTCCCCGACAGTCCTATGTGAGGATAATGCAGCATGTGTTGCACAAATGAGTAATGGGTACGTTAAAGGAAGCCTTACTAAACATATCACTCCTAAATTCTTTTACCCACATGAACTCCAGAAGAGTGGTGAAATACTCATTGAAAAGGTTCGCTCTAGTGAAAATCTGGCAGATCTGTTCACTAAGTCCCTGCCTACATCCACTTTTGAGAAGTATATGTTTATAAAATTGGGATGCGTAGGCTAGGAAGACTGTTGTCTTCAGGGGGAGCGATAAACTCGGTCTAGGAGACTTTTAAATCTTGAAGATGATGCCCAGTAGGCTTATGGTTATACTATTTTTCCGTTAGCTAAGATTTTTTTTCCCACTGGTTTTTTCTTAAGCTAAGGTTTTTAACGAGGCAACCGATGCAACACATGATTGATACTACATGTACTATTTTCCTTGACTAGGTTTTTCCCACAGGGTTTTTTCTAGCGAGGTTTTTAAAGAGGCATGAGTATAATTATTTAATGGCCAAGGGGGAGTGTTGTAAATATTTATATTTATGTCCATTAAACTATTTAGACCTTTCAATTGCTTAGCCTATAATCATGTATTGATGTTGTGTACTTGAAAGGTTGTATATGATCACTATATAAGTGAGTGAAGGTTGAAATGTTTTATATGATCACTATATAAGTGAGTGAAGGTGAATGAAAGACTACACACTTATATGAATGTTAAGCTATAGCTTGGTGTTCTTCTTCCCCTTCCTTTTCCCCCTCTATGCACCTACAAACACCCATACATATACATACGCAATTCCGGGTGTATAACCGTGCAAGCATCACGCGAGAACCAAAAGCGAATAGGCCAAAACTTAACACTATATACTAAATAATACTTAAAACTAGCAACTCACTAGACCTAGTATATAATTCATTTCTCAACACCTCTCGCTTACTAATCGAGTGTTCAATCCAACTAAGCTACAAAGATAGATAACACTTTTTCCAAAAGTTTCAATTTTTCTAAAATGAATTTTTGTTGTCTTAGAAATAAGATTCATGGTCCCAAAGAACTTAAATAAAAATAGAGAAATAGTGGCTAAACTCATTCCATACTTACAAATAGCAACCTAGTACTTGCGCTTTCATTAAGCTACAATTCAAACAACATTTGAACATTTTTCTATATAGTGAATAATACTTACAAATAACAACTCATTATTCCTAGGCTATAATGTAATGCTCTTGTTGAGAGTTGGACTCAAAACCTCCCACTTACTAAACGAGTGCTCTAACCAATTGAGCAACAAGAGCTAGATAACACTTTTTTCTATAAGTGACAATTTTTCTAAAAAGAATTTTGGTTATCTTAGTAATAAGATTTATGGGACCAAAGAGCTAAAATAAAAACATAGAAAGAGGGGCTAAACTCATTCCAGTTGCAACCTAGTACTTGCTAGGCTATAATGTAATGCTCTTGTTGAGAGTTCTCATCAAGACCTCCTTCTTACTAAACGAGTGCTCTGACCAACTGAGCTACTAGAGCAAGATATCACTTTTTCCAAAAGTGATAATTTTTCTAAAAAGAATTTTGGTTGTCTTAGTAATACGATTCATGGGACCAAAGAACTAAAATAACAACAGAGAAATGATCAAATAGTTATTTAGGGGTAAAACTCTCACCACTCTACTAATCATTTAAGTTACCACTAGTACAAAATTGCAGATAGGCAACCATTGTAAAAGACAATAGGCAACCATTGTACAATGGTCGCCTATGAAAGGCTCACCTAAAGGCATCGACTTTACGCTACCATTGTGAAATGGTTGCGCATTGTTAGTAATACACGACCGTTCTTGACAAAGAACGGTCGCGTATTGTATTTTTTTTTATTCGAAGGGAATATGCGACCATTTTCACTCTAGAAATGGTCACGTTTTCCCTTATTATTTTTTAATTATTTATTTAATTTAATTAAAATTCCTAATTTTTTTTATAATTCCTGTACCTGTTACAGCTCACTCAAATCCTATCAACATTACTCCACAATACAATTTATCTATCAACACACTTTAAAACAATACCTTTAACATACAATGCAAATACTATCATCAAATTAAACACAATGCAAAATATACTATCATCAAAATACAATATATAGGACTTAAAATCCTCATACTTTAATACAATTATATCAAATAATGCCCAACTCAATACTATCATAAAAAACAAAATACATTCTATCAATAAAATAAAAGTTATAAGCACTCGGAAAAGAAGAACTTTGACAAATGCTCCCGAAGCTCATTTATGTCATCGATAGAATACGGACTATCGCTTTCAAATGCCTACAAAAAATTAAATTAATAAAATTATTAAGTATGTTAATTAATAAAATATAACTTAACTATACATAGTTCCATTTAAATTCACTTACCCCATCCAAATTATCAACAGATGAATATTTTGTCACGATGTCATACATGTATCGCATGACATAATATCCACACTCATGACCTCCCGGTTGGATCGGGCACTACAAAATACATATATTATTTTACTAATTTAAACAACTTAATGTAATTCAAAATATCACACTAAATTTAAATTCAATTTTCATACATACTTTTCATGGCTTCCAGTTGATGCTCTTAACCCGTGCACTCGTAGGAACAGAGTGAAATGCCCTATAATAATTATAAGCATATACATAAAAATTTATAAATAATAGCATAGTTGCTAAAATACTAATATAAATAATAATAAAGTATTTACTTACAAATTCACAGAGCCTTTAATTAAACCTATGTTGCGATTAGAAGGCAATGGATCCAAGATACATACGCTTTTTGACCGTATGCAAATCACGAAAAGTAACCAATGAGAGCTACATTTAAAAACACAAATATATATTAAAATTTAATATCTAATACTCCAAATATAAAGTTATGAGTTATATTAATAAAATATAAAAACAATTTTCTTACTCTTGATGATATGGTGCTAAAATAAAGTTTTTATCTTTGTGCTGCTCCATGACGTGGATGAAATATGATGTAACTTTGCTGGAACTGCTTTTAAGCATAGTGTGGCAAATCTGAGTCGGACAGACAAACCCGATTGACCTAATGTCATACTCATTGCAGAACTGATTAAGAAATCTGAAAATTAAGAAATAATGAATACGAAATTTTACTAAATATAGGTAAACATATATATATATATAATATAGTAATAATTAAAAAAAAAAACTTACAGTATAAACACTTGTATGATTGAGACATTATGCCAATTCATCATCATCAAAAACGCTATATCCTTCACCATCACAAAAATAGAAGTTGTGTTTTTATGATGGAAGATAGCTTTATCCAGCTCCAACTCAATACAGTCTTTACCAAGTGGAAAGCTTGTCAACAAATCCACTAAACACTTGCAATTGTCCCCCAATTGCGGTAAGACATCATCACCAACAATGGGAGCTCGTGCACCAGTAGTAGATAAATCAACACTTTGATCTTTTGGTTTCATATTTTGTTTTGATGAACTCTACAAATATAAAATTGTAAGTTTACTAGCCCCTTTTAAATATAAATAACGAAAACTAACTTAATTAATAACTAAATAAAAGAATGAATCCTCTTCTAAAGTCACTAAATGCATAGGCCATTGTGCTAAACTGCCTACTATATCTGCTATAGTGACATATTTTTTATCTGGAAAGGGGTGAGTAAAGTGTCCTCTACCCTTAATCACTTCATCCACCAAAAGTTTGACACAGTTATACAACAATGGTTGGTGATCCACCAAAGTCTCGTCAGTACTTGGGTGAACCATACCCTTTGCAACATCAATTGGTGTTCCATTGAGACATATTGCTAGTAAACACCTTTTTGTACTCTATTATTCAAAATTGTGTGTTAATCTTTATCTAACAAGAAATAATTTTTTGATATATGAAATAACTTTTAATATTACCTGAATTGTTGTAACTGGATATGTGTCAACTGAATGACAACTGCTACGAGTAGGGGGTGGATCACGAAGCGGTGGATCAGGTAAGACCCCTCCTGAAAATAGATGTGTCCCCGATATGTTCTTCATCAAAAACTTGAGTTGTTGGTCCATTGTTTCAATCTTGGGATTCATCTTTGCTTCCACCTCCATTATTGTATTTTGCCTACATTTCTCTAATATTTGTTGGACAACAGCTTCTGAGTAAACCCCACTCGATGTGTTTTGTTTCCGATTTGGTCTACCAAACACTTCTTGGATGGTAGAGTATGATCCAATTGCTCTTACAGAACCTGAATTATCATGATAAATGCTCCCAATATGGTAGATCCCAAAATATAGACCTCTTCTTCCAAGGAGTCGTTTGACTAGTCTTACAAGTCTTACCAAAATCAACATCAATATTCTTAACACGTTCATAAATAGTATCTCCAGATAAAGGTAAACGAGCAACTCGAGTCTCAAGATTTCCATTAAAAGCCTTTCTCTTCTTACGATAAGGATGACCCGTAGGGAGAAATGTCCTGTGGCTCATGAACACATTCTTTTTACAGTTACTCAACCATAGACTGGGAGTTTCATCTTCACAAATTGGGCATGACTTAGCTCCTTTAGTAGTATAACACGATAGGTTACCATAAGCTGGGAAATTATTTATTCTGCAAAAAGTCATTGCACGTAAGGTAAATCTGCTTCGAGTATAAGCATCATACATCGGCACACCTCCATTCCTCAAAATCTTTAAATCCTCAACAAGTGGCGCTAGATATACATCAATGTCATTTCCTGGTTGTTTAGGCCCCGATATCAACAACCACAACATGATGTATTTTCTTTTCATACACAACCAAGGAGGAAGATTGTAAACTACTAAAAGAACAGGCCAAGTACTATGTCGACTGCTCATGTTACCATGAGGATTCATTCCATCAGTACACAGTCCAAGGCTAAGATTTCTATTTTCAGAACCGAAATCAAGCCACCTCCTATCAATATTTCTCCATTGAGGTGAATCAGCTGGATGTCTTAGTTTTCCATCTTCTTTTCTTCCAATAGCATGCCATTGCAAATTTTTTGCCTCTCTTGGATTAGCAAACATGCGTTTAAATCTTGGTATTACGGGTAAGTACCATAATACTTTGGCTGGGGGACCTTTCTTATTCTTACATGCATCTTTGTTTTTATAACGTGATGCTCCACACTTTGGACACACATGCAAGTCTTTGTAATCTTTCCAATACAAAATACAATCATTTGGACATGCATGTATCCTCTCAATGTCCATACCCAAAGGACACAACATTTTTTTTGCTTCGTAAGTTGAATTAGGAAGTTCATTGTCACCTGGAAGCATGTCTTTTATTAGTTCTAATAATCCCGTGAAACTCTTATCACTCCATCCATTTTTTGCTTTTAAATTATATAATTTAAGCACTCCAGATAACTTAGTAAATTTAGTACTTCCAGGGAACAACGGTTTTTCACCATTGTCAAACAAACATTTAAATTCAGGAGGCATTTCACTAAAATCTTCCTGCACATCACGCATCATTTCATCTATTCGATCATTATCTTCATCATTCTCATCATTGCTAACATGAGATGCATTATTCTTCTCATTATCTTCAAGAGTTTGACAATTTTCTTTAGTTTTACCGTGTGCATGAGTTTCACTATCTATATAAGTTTCCTTAATTACACTTGTACTAGGAATTAAGCTTTCACCTTGCCATATCCATCTTGTGTATCCTTCCTTAAAACCACGACGTATCAAATGACTCTTCACTTCATCAGAACTACGATATCTTTTAAAATTCTGACAATCGCAACACGGGCACACAATAAAGTCATCCCCCTTTTTACTCATATTTTCTTCAGCACATTGTATAAACTCTTGAACCCCTTGCATATATGGGAATGTAGTGCATTTTCCGAACATCCAACTCCTATCCATATCTGTGAATTCATAAAATACTACTCTTAAGTACTAATCAGATATGGATACGCAATGGTTACTTAATTGTCTTTGGGGAATGCTCACCAAAATCAAGTATGACTAAGATTATAATTTGTTGCATGTTGAGCAATCAAATGCAGTCATTCAACTTAGCATAACAGATGTTTACAAGTAATGAAGAGGATTGCCTAATAGCATTATAACGGCATGTCAATTCTAATATTTGGGGCATAGGAATAGATGGAATACTTACTTGCAGCAGATAATCACTGGTTGAGGTTTCAGAGCCTTAGGTCCATTTTGTATCGCTCTCTTGTGACGAGAAACCTGCATTATTGAATGTATACCACCAAATAAATGTCAACTGAAATAAGAGATAGAAGACTGTTAGAACTTTTGACCGTTAGTAGCCCATCTATTACCAAATAAAGGGCAGTTATGGTCATTGGTTAAGTGAATGCATCACATGCTGCAAGGCATATAAAAAAAAATAAAAAATCAATAGCCTATATTACTTTCTTCTGTTTCTAGTATGAGTTAGAGTACTAAAATTATTATCAAGAGATATTCATATTTCAATTTTCAATTACACATTTGAACAAGTAACCAAAAAAATCTATTTCTAAACCTTCCTAAAGGAATGAGAATGAAAGCATTCCTGAATGGTTTATTGCTAAACATTTCCGTATGATTGAGGGTTCGGCTTAAGTGTATTTCCTCCCCTCATCTTTGCTGATCTCCTATGAACTGCATTCCTTGATAAATTGCAACAAATTGCAATTGCAACAAATATCTGCTGATTTCCGTATGATTCTTTGCTGAATGCAAATTGCAACAAATTAAGACATTGAGCAACAAACAATCCAGCTTCAAAGAATCAGAACATCTCAACAAAGTTTTAAGGCAAACTGAATTTAAAAAATTATTTAAGAAAACTAATGCACAAGAATCTAACATTGTTATCAAATTCCTTATTTTAATTTTTTTCTTCTCTTCGTATGAGATATATAGGGAGAGCAAATGATGAGACTAAGAAAGTTTTGATTCCATTCAATTCCATACTTACAGTTATAATAACTTAGGGCGGGTTCACTCAACCACAAGTATTCAACAAATATGGAAAATTGAACTCAAGAGGGCTCAAAAGACTTTCACACTAGCTCAATCAAGATTTAGCTACACTCTTGGAGTTCAAGTTTGAGTCGAGTTGAAACAGCATTTTACTGTATGCCATTCAAGAACTAGTATGTTAACAACTAGCAAAATCTCTCTGCTAAAAGCCTAAAATACAAGCATCAAATACACTTTCTAAAAGGCATTATATAATGGAAACTCAGCTTGATTTAAAGGAATTTGCAATTCAACTCAAGGTCTGGCGCTAATAGAAGTAGCTTACTTTCCTAGTAGCGAAGGAAAAGGGCAGGGCTGCTGGTATTCTCACCCAATTCATACCGGATTGTACTTAAAACCCATCTAGACTATCCAAATCAAATATCACACTACTGGAAATTCTGAAATTTTCGACCACCTGAAAATGATCTTAAATTAAGTTGATACCAAAAAGTCCAAAAAGTGGTCGGAAATAGCAACAAAGGTTTTTCCGGATACCAAAAGTGGTCGGAAATAGCAACAAAGGTTTTTCCGGATACCAAAAGTGGTCGGAACAAGTTTCAACTTGATTTAAGATCACTTTCAGGTGGTCGGAAATTTCAGAATTTCCAGTAGTGTCAATTTGTTTGTTTATTTTGACGGTAAATTAGTGGGGGGTGGTGGATTGCGCTCTGATTTGTACATCCATGAGGCTTCACCTTAGCCAACTAAGCCAGTGTCATTGATACAACAGGCCTCACCTGCCCGTAAACTCTTCTAAATCAGGAAACAGAACATACATTCAAATCCTAACAGTGAATACACCAGTTATGCAAACACCCTGATATGAATCTCTTGGTGAAGAACAAATAAGTCTCCAGCCTATTGACCAAAGGACCCAGTTAAACTGGTTCGAGAGGATAAACAGATATGGGGAGAATTCAAGCTAAACAGATATGGGAGGATAAACAGCCTAAATAATTACAATCATATGTACACAGTACACAAATACCTAGATATGGCAGTGGCGCGGCAGTGGTGCGGCGTCGGGAAAGGGAGGCGGTAGTGGCGTCGGCTAGGGGCGGCAGTGGCCCCGGCGGGCCGGGGATGGCGACTTGGCTGTGGCGGTGCGTCGTGGTGTGGGCGTGCGACGGTTGCTGTGCGTGTGGCGGTGCGTCGCGGTGGTCTCCGCCAACGGCGTGGTGGCGGTGGGTCGCCGGGCGAGAGCGTCGAGGTCGGAGATTGATCGCGTGGTTGCCGGAGAGAGCAGCGTCGATGGAGTATTGTCGATATGTCTTCTGATTAAATAGATCTAGGGTTAATCTTAGGCAAGGCAACCATTTCTAATAGAAATGGTTGCCTATTACAAAACAAGTTCTATTTTAAGGCAACCATTTCTATTAGAAATGGTTGCCTATTAAAAATTAATTTTTTTTAAAATAAATACAAAATACAATGGGCAACCATTACAGCTAACAATGGTGGCGGATTATTGATCACTTATTTACAATTTTTGGGCTAAGATTAGACAACCATTCTTTCAACAATGGTAGCCTATCGTCAATCTTCTATGTTCAATTTTGTACTAGTGTACTAGAAACTCACTAGACCTAGTATATAATTTAACGCTCTTGTTACACGTCGAACTCAACACCTCTTGCTTACTAATCGGGTGTTCAATCCAACTGAGCTACAAAGGTAGATAACAATTTTTCCAAAAGTTTCAATTTCTCTAAAATGAATTTTTGTTGTCTTAGAAATTAGATTCATGGGCCTAAAGAACTAAAATAAAAAGAGAGAAATAGTGACTAAACTCATTCCATACTTACAAATAACAACCTAGTACTTGCGCTTTCATTAAGCTAAAATTTCGACAACATTTTTCTATATAGTGAATAATTCTTTCAAATAGCATCTCATTATTGCTATGCTATAATGTAATGCTCTTGTTGAGAGTTGAACTCAAGACCTCCTGCTTAATAAACGGGTCCTCTAACCAACTAAGCTACAAGAGCTAGATAACACTTTTTCTATACGTGACAATTTTTCTAAAAAGTTTTGGTTTTCTTAGTAATAAGATTCATGGGACCAAAGAATTAAAAAAAAACCGAGAAATAGGGGCTAAACTCAGTCCAGTTGCAACCTAGTACTTGCTAGGCTATAATGTAATGCTCTTGTTGAGAGTTCTACTCAAGACCTCCCACTTACTAAACGGGTGCTATAACCAACTGAGGGACTAGAGCGAGCAAGATATCACTTTTTTCAAAAGTGCCAATTTATCTAAAAAGAATTTTGGTTGTCGTAGTATTAAGATTCATGGGACCAAAGAACTAAAATAACAACAGAGAAATGATCCAATAGTTATCAATTAGGACCAAACCTCGTGCCAGTTACAACTGTTATCAATTAGGGGCAAAACTCATGCCAGCTACAACCTAGTACTTGCATTTAGCTCTCATTAACTACAACTTCAACAACATTACCGTTAAACATTCTACAGTACAGTGTTTATAAGATATATCAAGTCAAAAGATATATAATTATTGTATAATTAATTATTAGAATTTAATTATGAACCATCATAAATAATCTTATAGATTACATCCGAATTTAAAAGTCGTTTAAATCGAATTTCTAATCTAAAAAAAATGTGGAGTAATAATTTCCACATACTTACAAAAAAAGACTAACTATTCTTGTGCTATAATGTAATGCTCTTATTGAGAGTCGAATTCAAGACCTCGCTTACTAAACTGGTGCTCTAACCAACTGAGGTACAAGAGCTAATTAACACTCTTTTTCAAAATTGACCAGTTTTCTAAAAAGAATTTTGGTTGTGTTAATAGTAACATTCAGGTGAGCAAAGAACTACAGGGAAAAGTCCCCAAGTTACCAAGTTGTCATTTAGGGGTAAAACTCTCGACAACAGTACTGCGAAACACTACTAATCCTTCCGAATTTAAATGTTGTTGAGATCAAATTTATAATATGGTGTAATACTTTCAATATACTAAATAGTACTTATAAATAGCAAGTCACTCAACGTAGTATATAATTTAATACTCAATGCTCATGTGTTGAACTCAAAACCTATCGCTTATTAATCAGATGTTCAATCCAACTGAGCTACAAAACTAGATAATACTTTTTCCAAAAGTTTAAATTTTTCTAAATGAATTTCTGTTGTCCTCATTCCATACTTACAAATAGCAACCTATTACTTGCTCTTTCATTAAGCTACAATTTAAACAACATTTTTCTATATAGTGAATAATACTTACAAATATCAACTCACTATTCCTAGGTTATAAGCTTACTAAACGAGTTCTCTAACCAACTGAGCTACAAGAGCTAGATAACACTTATTCCATAAATGATAATTTTTCTTAAAAGAATTTTGGTTTTCTTAGTAATAAGATTCGTGGGACCAAAGAACTAAAATAAAAACAGAGAAGTAGGGGCTAAACTCATTCCAGTTGCAACCTAGTACTTGCTAAGCAATAATGTAATACTCTTTTTGAGAGTTCAACTCAAGACCCCCCGCTTACTAAACGGGTGCTCTAACCAACTGAGCTACAAGAGAAAGATAGCACTTTTTCCAAAAGTGACAATTTTTCTAAAAAGAATTTTGGTTGTCTTAGTAATAAGATTCATGGAACCAAAGAACTAAAATAACAACAGAGAAATGTTCCTATAGTTATCAATTAGGGATAAACCTCAGGCCAGTTACAACCTTTATCAATTAGGGGCAAAACTCATGCCAGTTGCAACCTAGTACTATCATTCATCTTTCATTAACTATAATTTCGATGTTAAACACTCTACCGTTCAGTATTTATAAGATTTATCAAGTCAATTGATATATAATTATTTTAAAATTAATCATTGGAATTTAATTATGAACTATA